ATATTCTTCTCTTCTTCTCAAAGCCAACAATGTTCTAGAAAGGCCATAAATCACCAAGGGAATGAGAGTTAGGGTTTATCTGAGATATAAGGGTGTTGAAGGCTGGTAATGACCCTTAGAAATGGCTTAGAGGGGTTTAAATACAAAGAAAACCCTAAAAGAATCATGGGCTTGGGCAAGACAGCTGTCACAACGTGGCCTTCCTTGACCACATCGTGACAGTCCAATAAAACACACATGTCTTTTACTCGATGCCATGTCGTGGGAATCCTTTCTCCACGTCGTGGTATAGAGTTTTTTTTCCCAAAAAATCCATATTTAGCCCATGAAATATGAGGCTAAACCAATATGGAACACGAGTTTTACAATACAACATAACATACATATAATATGGATTGTTATGGGCTAACCATAGTCTCACTGTTACTATCAGCCATGAGTCAATCATGGTCTTTCTTTGCTACGCCAGGAGCCAAATCTTGGTCTTATGTATAAGTGCCAAGAGCTACCTCCTGGTCTTCCTTACAAGCATCATAAAGACAACTAGCAACATACAAATAACTATCAAGGCCAAACCCTAGTCTTGCATAGAATTTCCAGGAGCCACCACCTAGTCTTTCATACATGTACGTAGGGCCACCACCTGGTCTTCATACAAGTATCACTACGACAACTTGCATCCCACATAGTATATCAATGAGACTCACCTTGCCAATGAAGTCCATAACAATAGGTCTCATATCCAATAAGTGGGTGTTAAACACCTCCTACTAAAACCACACAAGCTAAACTGTAATTCTACCTTTTAAAAATAGGAATTGACCAAAAGTCAACCCATGACATAAGTCAACAGTCAAGTCAAAATCAATAACCAAAGCCCACACTCAACGTCACCAATAACTGACCCTCACGTTGTGAGAACGCTCTCAGCCCGATCCAAACTCGACCGCTCTCCAACTTAGGTACACACAACTCATTCAACAGGTACCACGATGTGAACCCTCCTTGGTCATGTCGTGAACACAACATGACAAGATAATCGAGGGATCCCCTACTTTTATGTCATGACACTCCCCATGCCATAACGTGACCACTATCCGAGGCGAAATCTAAATGGTTTGAGTACTTAATCCATTAAGTCTTCAATTCCATCTTTCCAAAAAACTTTAAGGGACTCCAAAGATTCATAAAAAGGAAAACTTTTTTAGACATGCATGCCCCATGCATGTCCTTTGCTCAACCTAGGCCAAAAGGAATGAAAAATGACCTAAAAATCATGCAAGATTCACAATCCACAACTAATCCTTAGATCCATAAGATATGATGCTCTAAGGACTCTTTAGGACCATAAAGTTGCCAACTTTATTCCATCCATCCACTCAAATCAAAACCATGAACCAAAAGGACTAAAACAACTTAGATCTAAGAGAATAAACCATAAAGGTAGAAGCTTGAATACATACAAATGGTCCAGAAGGTGATATCAAAGACGAGAAAGTGCTGCTTGCTTGATACCTACTCCAATTCTCCTCCTACTTCCTTCAAAGAGCACCAAAACCCCTAAAATGAGCCAAAACCACCAAGATGGAATAGGGTTAGGGTTTCTGTGGTTTAAGAGAGATGGAGGCTGAGTAATGAACTCTATATCCAAGTTTAGGGTGTTTAAATATAAAGGAAACCCTAAAAGATCATGGGATTGGGTTGTATCCCTTGTCACGTCGTGATCCTATACATGCCACGTCGTGACTAACCTCCTAATGCATGTTCTTCATTTGGTTAATCACATCGTGACCTCCCCATGGTCACGTTGTGATGCATGATTTTTCACTAAAATCATGCCTTTGACTCATTTATTCCCTACACTGATCCAATCCGGAAAACAGGTGTTACAACTTTTAACAAACACACTTTTGATTGAGAAAGTACATTTTTAATGAACATACTTTCACTTAGTAAAGTACATTTCTAGTACATACTTTTTGATATAAAAGTACATACATATGAGTTTGGAAATACTTTTATGCAATAAAAACATATATTTTTTTGTTTAAAAAGTACTTACGATCCAAACTTTACAAAAATATGAACTCACCAACTTTATGTTGATGTTTTTAAAATCACATTTATTCTCAGGGAACCAAAAGTCAGACATGTATCATATTTTGGAAAATCATGGATTCACAGGCATACCGTTTTATCATTGTTTTTATTTAAACCGCCTAATTGTTAAGGCACTGCTTATACCTTAATTTTACCATCCCAAACTTAGTACGATATTTATGTTATATATTTTATTTTATAGTAGAAACGATATTTAGGTTATACTTTGTGTATTGTTCAATACAATCAATATTTGTGATCCATGATGACGTCGTACAACCCAACGTTTCTGCCGTCGGCCGGGGTGTGATATTTTCCTTGACTTTTTAAATTAGAAACAAATAAAGATAGTTTTGTTGCAGATTGTTTTAAATAGGGGATGGTTTTGTAGTTAGAAGCATTTGATTACATGTGGAGAAGAGCTTAAAAAAATTTCGAATTTGGTTTTTATCTTGGAGGATGTAATTTTATATAACAAAAAAGATAGCTGGTGTTGGAATACTTGAAATGAATGATCTGTTAGTGTGAGTGATACTAGAGATGGATCAATGAAACTTTTCTTCCTTATTCTGATCAGTAAACTAGATGGAACTCTCTTCTTGCTAGTCAAGTTAATATTTTGATATGGAGATTTCTCTTCAATATAATTCCTACTAGACATATATGTTAGATCGAGGCTTGGATATCCCATCTATCCTTTGTCATATTTGTAATATGGAGGTGGAACAACTTGATCATTTGTTCATTTAATGTGAAGTGACAGCTAGAACCTGGGATGCAATTCGAAGGGGTGGAGGTAGAACAACTAAGGTTTCATACGGTTCGTGAATTGTTTCAAAATGTTTACCAATTATCTCTTACTTTGAAAAAAAGAAGGTGCTTGATGTGATTGTTTGTATTGCTTACTAATATCTTTGGAGGTTTAGAAACGAAAAGGTTGCTACTTCACGAAAAATGAGATAATGTGACATTATAGACTCTATTAGAGAATTTCTTTTCTTTGGTTTGCTAATTGAAATATGAAATGTTCTATTTTTTTGGGTCAGTTGGTTACAAAACCCTCTAAACTATGTGTAATTGATTTGCTCTAGTTTCTTGCAGGTGCGTTTTCTGTGGCTTATTAATATATGGTTGGCTGCTTCAAAAAAAAATAGAATCAAAATTTTAATTAGTTACTCCGTAAGCCAAATTAAAAAACCGAATAACTTATTAAATTGAACCTTATACAGTTCGGTTACATTTAGGTTAGAAATGTTAAAAAAACAATTTAACTAACCCGAATAAATTGAAAATAGGTGAGCAAGAATATTGAAGTTTCTGACCCAAATCGACACCGTTTATGTTAGTATGGGATGATACCCAATACTAAAAAATCACGAAATTCGAGATTAAGTGTCGTCAGTACCGATGCTAATACCGAAAACCGGTATCATTCCCGATACGGTACCGATAATGTTAGTTTGGGTCGGTGCTCAATATCTACTTTCCATACAATTCAATATTTGAGAATTCCGGTCAGGTTTGGTTCCATATGCTCATCCTTAACCAAAAACACCGTTAAACCGACCAAATAACACCCCTAAAACTAACTCAAAGCTGAAAGTTAGCTTAAGATGACCAACAACATTCAGTATTGTCCAAACTAACCAAAGTTAGTTAAAGCATACCCACGTTATTTACATCAACTTAGGCCAAATCCATACCTTCTAAGGTGATCCAATACTTAGATGGGTGTTTTCCACTATATTTCAGGTTTGAAAACCTTTTTAGGTTTAGGTTTCTAAGGGCATTTTTCTGCAACACATTGATGCTTGTAATTCGTTATGGTCGGTATGGATCGATGTTATAACATCAAAAATTTGTCATCTCACATGTCATATCACCCTTAACATCGTACCATTTAAGTAGGAAATAATGTTCAAATGTTATTATATATATATATATATATATATATATATATATATATATATATATATATATATATATATATATATATATATATATATATATATATATAGAGAGAGAGAGAGAGAGAGAAAAGCTTCCCCATTTCACCAAGTCATAACGACAATATTTCTTACCATAATATTTATTACCATAACACCGAGGTGGGACATTGTTCATAGTATTATGACGCCTTTATTGGTTGTCACATTAGTCATAAAGGGGGTTTTGGACTCATACCCAACACTTTTATACAAGTGTGTTTTATATACCACTTGTATTAGATCCTTGTCCGACTCGCCTTTGACACTTATTCAATATTTTAGTTACAGTAAATTGTTAGACCGACACTAAAATTATTACCAACTTTTAATTGCGAAATAAAAATGTTTTGATGTTTTCCTATGCACCGATCCTTTACACGGGTCCTTGGCGATACATTATTTTGTTGAAAAGTATTACATGCATGGTCTTTGGCGATACATTATTTTGAAAAATATTACATGGTCTTTGGCAATACATTATTTTGTTGAAAAGTGTTACATGAAAGCTATATATGTTATCTTATTCTATAAACTAAGGGGTATTAATAGAGAACTTCACGCCAAAAAGTGTCTCATTTATTTGCCCATTTTATACCTATAATAAGTTATTGACATCACTAGAGCCTCAAGAGATAATACCCGTTATATTCATATTGAGAACTTTGTTTTGACATGCAAAATTCATTAAGGAGTTCAAACTTTACATGACTAAAATATCAAGTGTTCCATACTTTCCCCATATGTGATGGCCGTGGGCGGGTTCAATGTGGGCCAACCAGAGAATGGCTTACCTTTTTTCATGTTGAGAAAATTGTGTATATGTTTTAATGAAGATTTATTTCTTTATATATGATTTCTTGGATTTTTCTAAAAAAACAAAGACAAAATAAAGACTATAACATTTGTAACACATACGAAAATAAAAGCGAGCCATATTTTGATATATCTTTGGCAATAATATTGCCTAAGGATCATAATATCGACGTAAGCGGATCTTACATGATGTATGTAAAATTAGAGATGGGAATACATTATACATCTTTTCTAAAGTCTAAACACTGGTTTAAATTTTAACCATCTGAAAGAAAGCCAATAAGCAATACAATAGTATCTTATGCTATACAAATGTAGGTAGCTTAGGTTAAATATATAAAGACTAAAGACCACATGTCTCAAGGTAAAACTAGATCTTTAAGCAAAATGCTTCCTCATCAAATCCAACCCACCTCAGAAACAATAATATTTCAAGGAAGCTCTTGGTTCTTCTCCACCACCCTTACTTCTTTTGCAGATCTAAGCACATCGGCCTGTGACAAAATAAAGTCAAACTATCATGTTCTTTAGCAGTCAAAAGAGCGAGAGATAGAAAGACGTACATAGAAAGAGAAAGTATATGGAAAGTTGACCTGAGCATCAGTGATTTGAACAGCAAAAGCATCAACGATGAACAACGATAAGGTCTTGTGGTAAGTTCCAGGCTCAAGTTTCTTAGCCAACAGATCGTTATGCTTGGTGCTCAAGTACATTTCCACCTCCATTGCCCCTCTCTTTGTTCTGCACATATTACATACATACATCAACATCACCATGGCATAATTAATGGTGGTGGAGGCCGGAGTCCGGAGGGAGGAAGTGAGTGAAATTACAAAACTGACCTGTCAGATTGCAGGCGTTCGTATTCTGGATCATAGTTCATGAAGACAAAATGGAGATGTCTTTGTCTGTCACCCATTGTTGAGTTGGGCAGCTTTGAGTGATAAGATCCATTGGTCATTGCCCTTTTATAGCAAACCAACAACTTTACTTTGACTCTGTCAAATGGCGATATATGGATCTAAATTTTAATTTTATTTTTTTAATTAAAAAATGGCTTTCTGTTAAATATAATTAAGTATTATATACTTTGTAGGGTTAAAGAGAGGAAAAGTAAAAACGGACCATAGCTTTTTGAAAACGAAAGAACACAACATAACTATAGAGTTTTTGGCATTAGAAAGAAAATAAATATCTAGTGTTATGCCAATCGACATTGAAATTTTATTTAATTGATATATATATATATATATATATATATATATATATATATATATATATATATATATATATATATATATATATATATATATATATATCAATCATATGTAACTTTTATTAGTTTATATAATGTTAATGGTGCTTGCCTTAATTTCAACAAATGTAGTGGTTTAAAATAATTAGAGTTATATATATATATATATATATATATATATATATATATATATATATATATATATATATATATATATATATATATATATATATATATATCAAAATACCATATTGCATTTTTGTAATACATAATAATAATAATAATAATAACAATAATAATAAAACCTTATCTAAATATCATGTTCAACCAAAAGATAAAACAAAAATAAATGGTTTAATAGGATGTAAAAGTCAAAATAGTTGTTGACCGAGTAAGATTTAAATAAATCAGAACTTGATTGGATCTAAATTCCTGATTGTATTTATATCTGACTAAAAACATTTTATTTGATTATACATCTGACTGGTTATGATAACTGTTGAAAATTATCATTTTATCCTTATGTTATGTTTTGTGCTGAATAAAATATATTTGTTTGATTTATAAAATATCTAAATAAAATGGATGAATAGTTATAGAAAATATACCTAATCTAAATTAAACATAAATAATTATAAATTCTATAAACAACAATAATTGTAGAGATGAAATACATGCATAAAGGATTACATGCATGCTAAAACTGCATTCTAATTACTACATGACGTCATCGATTGTAACTTCTGTAAATTTAGGCTAGACGTTTAAGGTATAATAATAATAATTATTATACATTTTATCAAACAATTAAAATTGTTGCATAAAGTAATTGTTCTTCATACGCATTACGAGCTAATAAATATTTGTTGTATACATGTTATGTGAACAAATATTGAGATTATATAATATTTGTAGAAAATCTTATTATAAAAAGTTACCGTTGAGCGATAAAATAAAGTGTAAAAATAAAAGATTATTTAGGATCAATAGTGTTAACAAAAGTTGTAGTAGTCGTGATCACAAGCGTGTGGATATAAAGAACGTTTAAATCTGACTTCGTATTAGAAAGTTATTATATTTCAAAGTTTTGACGGTGACATAAAAAGTGAGATAGAGATTTGTTGCTCGTTAGAGAAAATATTCTAAATGAAAGTTGTAGCACTATTCGATATGAAATCAACGATATAAAGAACGTGGAATATAAAGCTCGTATGCGAAAGATTCGAACGAAACTTGGTCCCTAAGTTTGATATGCAACATCTTTTGCAGTGTAATCTTTATAGATTTGTAAATTTAAAATAGAACAAGAATTAGCCGAATCTAAATGAAAGTTGTAATATTTTCATCGATATGAAGTTATGGATATAAAAAATGTCGGAAACAGAGTTCGTATGCGAAATATACTAAGGAAACTTGGTGCCTAAGCTTTATATGCAGCGTCTTTTGCAGATCTTTACATATTTGTAAATTTAAAATAGGACGAAAATTAGCCGACGAAATCTAAATATAATACTCGTCGATACAAAGCTCATACGCGGAAGATATGAAGCAAACTTGGTGCCTAATCTTGAGACGCGACGCGCCCTATATCCTAGCAGCCTATAAATACAAATCCGATGTGGTTCATTCTTGCTCAAATTCTCTCTAGAACTCCTTTCACTCCACGTCTGATTTTTCTAGAGCTCTTAGAATACTTTAGCAAGGTTCTACAACGTAAGAGATCCCAACGAAAGAAGTTTCAAAGTCGAAGTTTGTTCGCAACTTTCCAATTTTTTTGTTAATTGTAAATTGAGTTATTCTTATCGTACTTTAAGTATAACTTATATTTATGTTCGTAGTCATTATTATAAACTAATAAATAAGATTTATCAGGAATCGCAGTTTTTATATTGATCGATATACTTACGGGACTGGTGTCTATGCTAAATTTGTGAGGTGTTTAAAATGGATTTTCCAAACAATGTATCTCTATATACCGAATGAATCCTACATCCGATGCGATCTTACCTGGTTCTTCCTTGTCAGCTATAAGTCAGATTGTGATTATTGATAAACATTATAATGATTAAAGTTTATAAATACGAACGGATACTAAGGTTTAGTAATATTCGTGCTTAGGTCGTTTTAAAGGGAAATCAAAAGTGTAAGTCAAGGAACTGACTTTCTCGCAAGTCTTCCACATATTTCATTAACATGATTTTAATACATGTATTTATTAAAATTATTGAATATTTGTTAAAAGTTTATATGTGAAATTAAATGCTTATTATCTGGAATATATATTAAATGTATTTGATAACATGCATTGTATGAACTATATATATATATATATATATGTATATATATATATATATGTGTGTGTGTGTGTGTGTGCGCGTATGTGTGTATGTGTGTTAAAATGGTATTATTACCTGATAATCTTAATATAAGTATTATTACTTAAAAGATTCATGTATATCAAATAGCTGATACTCTGTGTTAAATATATATACTATTAGCATAGTGTTATCTAGACGAAGTTAGTATTGGAAACTGATTACAAGGATTGTGATATTGTCTAAGTTTTTAAATTGAGACGTATAAAGAATGTTTAGATCCAATTAAGTTGGATATATTATATACATACTCTATATCATGATGGTATCATTAAGACTTTATTAATAATGAAAAGAGAACTGATCTAGTTACAAACTAAGGGTTGTCAAAGGTATCTAGTTCAAATTAAGTTAAAGGAACACTTAGTCATACCATGTGCTATAATCATATCACATTAACAAGGAATATGTATTGAAAGTTGAATATTTATATTATAGTCTAGTCTAGTTTTAAATTAAAGACGTATAAAAAATGATCAGATGTAGTTAAGTTCAATAAAAGTATAGTTGTATATTGTATTGCGATAATATGGAATAAAATGAAAACGTTTTTGTAAGTTGATTACAAGTATTATAGTATTGCCTAATAATGAAATAAGTCTTATAAAGGTTGTTTAGTTCAATTAATTTTGGATATTGGGTAACATCATATTTAGGGTATGTATGACAGGAACGAAGAGTAGAACTCTATTTTTGACACTATCAGGTGTCGATGTACAGATTACGTACCAGAGTATAATATAGTATTTCTTTGGACAACCATATATGATGGCTTCGATCAGACAAGTAAAATGGTATGTCTGGTCATCTCCCAGAGTAAAATGAAAAACTTGATTATTCTATACGGTATTGTGAATTTGCTAGTGTGGACTTATAACCACAGATGTAAATGAAATGGGATAACAGATTCATTAAATACTCTGATGGATTAAATTGCCTTTATGAATTATATTGGCCAAGGAAGCCCCTAGTTGTGTAGTCAAACCATTTCTTTAAACGATTCACCAGGTGAGTTGACTCTTCATGATAATCGTAGACTAGGATTCGTGAGAATCGGTTGGGATGGGTATGTATGAGTGTAAGATTTTATAGTTATTTAAGTTATAGGATATATCTATATTATTTGGCAATAGTTGGTTTTGCAAGTTTGATAATTATAAATTATTATCATAATAATATTGTGGGATTGAAAGCCATATGTGTCTCACCAGGTTTTCCAACTTGACTCACTCAAATTATATGCATCATAGGCAGTGTTGTAAAACTTGTCGAGTTGGCTGATTACTCGGTCAAGTACTTCCTATTCGGCCCCTTATTGAGGCGAGTTACAAAATCCGAGTACTCCCTGATCTACCCATTACTGAAGCGAGCAGTGTTGTAAATGTAACATTCATAAAATTCATGAATAATTTAAACTTTTTAAAACAAACCCCAAATCATCATTGTTTACAAATTGTTTCAAAATAATTTTCACATCAGAGTTTTCCCAGAATCGTAAAAACAGAATATGAGAAGGTGCACGATCATGCCTTCTCCTTCCCGTAATCCTCAGAAGTACGTGATGTTGGATTAGTGTTTAAGCCCATAACTATATTTGGTAACTACTTGACCCGGTCGTGCATTGTCCTTTTGGGTTGCCTTCACCAAAGCAACTTGATAGGATGATTTATGAAGAGAGAGAGAGAGAGAGAGAGAGAGTTTATTATGGTTTATTAATATATTATATGGATAATATATTAAAAGAGAAATCATATAGTTTAATTAATATTAGACAAGAATTAATTAAGAATTAATTTTATGGCTAAAAGACATTAATTAAATAAAGGGGACTAGAACTATCAATTGTGTGATAGTTGAATATTGGGATGAGAATCCTTATGGATTAGAGGCATGGACAAAATTAAGAGGAGTCCATCTTAATTTCGGCCATAGAGGCCTTATTCCAGAAGATTCTCAAAGTTACTTAGGGCCTAAGTCATCCAGTTAGGGTTTTGAATGAAACCCTAGAAGCTCAAGTATTTAAAGACCCCTAGCGCTTAGAAAATCGGTCACTTGATCCCTTGAAACCTTGACATTTCATTGTTTAGATCTTCCCTTGTGAAAGAAAATGGTCACTCTTAGTGCAAAATGGAGTCACTTTCGGGTTTGAGCTTGTCACAAGGACATTGTTTCATATCTAGACTCCTCTAGGACCCCATAGCCATAAAGTTCTCGACTTTAACAAGATTTGGACCTTCTCCATACCTCAAATCTCATATTGGAATTGGTTTTGGTGTTTCAAGCCTTTTAAGGTCTTGCATGCACGTAAAGTTGGCAGCTTTACGTGGTAGC